TATTATGTGTGTAAGTCGTGTGTAGGTGTGATCTGTGTTATGGTGTGGTAATTGGTGGTGTGTGGTGGTAGTGGGTGTGTATGGTGTTGGTATGGATGGTGTGTAAGTGGGTGGTGTTTGTATAAGTGGGTGCGGTGTGTAATGGTAGGTAGTGTGGCGTTAGGATGTGTTCGGTGTAAGTGTGCGTGTGTGTAGTGTGTAGTGTGTGTGTGTATGTGTGGTGTGGTAAGTGTGAATGTGTGGTGTGATAAGTGTGTGTGAGTGAGTTGGTGGTAAGTGTGTGTGGGGTGTAGTGGGTGTGGTTAGTCTGTGTGTGTAGTGTGGTGTGTAAGTGTGTGTGGGTGTATGTGTGTGGGTAAGTGTGTTGGTGTATGTGTGGTTGGTAAGTGTGTGTGGGTGTATGTGTGGTGTGGTAAGTGTGAGTGTGGGTGTGATGTGTGGTGTGGTAAGTGTGTGTGGGGTGTTATGTGTGGTGTGGTAATTGCGTGGTTGATGCGTTGGAATGGTGTATGTGTGGTAAGTGTGTGCTTGTGTATTGTGGTGAGGTAGTGTGGTAATGTGTGGTGTATGTAAGTGTTGGGTGAGGTAATGTGCGTGGAGTGTTGTGTGTTGGTGTGGTAAGTCTGGTGGTGTATGGTGTGGTGGTGTAGTGTGTGGGTGTATGTGTGGTGTGGTGGTGCGTTGTGTATTGTGGTGTGGTCTAGTGTGGTGGGGTGTGTAGTGGGTGATTGGTTGGTGTGGGTTATGTGGTGTGGTGTGTGTGCGGGTGGGGTGTTGTGGGTGGGTAGGGTAGATGTGGTAGTGTGTAGTGTGTATGGTTGGTGTGGTAAGGGTGCGGTGTATGTGTGTGTGGTGCTGTGTATGGGGGTGGGTTAGGGGGGTGGTGTGTAAGTGGTGTGTGCGTGTGTATTGGGTGGCGGTTGTATGGTTGGTAAGTGTGTGCGTGTATATGGTGTGGTAAGTGTGGTGTGATATGTGTGGTAAGTTGTTGCGTGTATGGTGTGCGTAAGTGTGTGCGTGTTATATGGTGTGGTAAGTGTGTGCTGGGTATGGTGTGGTAAGTGTGTGCGTGTGTATGGTGTTGGTAAGTGGTGCGGCGTGTGTATGGTGTTGTAGTGTGTGCTTAGGTGTGTAAGTTGCTGTGTGTATGGTTGTAAGTGTGTGTTTGTGCGTGTGTATGGTGTGGAAGTTGTGGTGTGTATGGTGTGGTAGTGGTGTGCGTGTGTATGTGTGGAAGTGTGTGCGTGGTGTATGGTGTGGTAAGGTGTGCGTGTGTAGGTGTGGGTAAGTGTGTTGCGTTTGTATGGTTGGTAAGTGTGTGCGTGTGTATGGTGTGGTAAGTGTGTGCGTGGTATGTGTGGTAAGTGTGGTGCCGTGTGTATGGTTGGTAAGGGTTGTGTGGTGTTGTTGCGTGTGTGTATGTGTGGTAGTGTGTGCGTGGTGTCGGAATGGTTTGTGTGGTAATTGTGTGCGTGGTATATGGTGAGTAAGTGTGCGCCGTGTGTAGGTATGGTAGGTGCGGTGTGTATGGTGTTTGTATGGGTGGTAGTGTGCGTGTGTGTATGGTGTGGTTAAAGTGGTGTGTGTATGTGTGGTGTGGTAAGTGTGAATGTGTGGTGTGATAAGTTGTGTGTGAAGTGTATGTGTGGTGTGGTAAGTGTGTGTGGGTGTATGTGATGGTGTGTAGTTGTGTGTGTATATGTGTGGTGTGGTAGTCTGTGTGTGTATGTGGTGTGTAAGTGTGTGGGTGTATGTGTGGTGTGGTAATGTGTGTGGGTGTATGTGTGTGTGGTAGTGTGTGTGGTGATGTGTGTGTGTATGTGTTGTGTATGTGTGGGTGGTATAAGTCGCGGGCGTGTGTGATGTGATAAGTGTTGCGTGTGTAGTTTAGGTGTGCGTGTGTGGTTGGCGTGTGAGGTGTGTATGGTTGAGCTGTGTGTGTGCGTGTGGTTGGTGTGTGGGTGGTGGGGTGGGGTGGGGTGGGTGGTTGGGTGTTGGAGATGTGTGACCCGTTTTCAACTGATTATTAATTCTATTCATTTTTTATTTTTATTTTGTTTCTATACCGTGTGTGTGTGTTGTGTGTGTTCATTGTTTTGTTTTTTTTTATTTCTTTGGTGTTTATTGTTTATTTTATTTTTTTTTGTTCTTTTTTATTTTTTTTTGTTATTGTTGTAATTTCTACATACACCCACACACACTTACCACACCACACATACACCCACACACACTTACCACACCACACATACACACACAGACTTACCACACCACACATACACCCACACACACTTACCACACATACACTCACACACACTTATCACACCACACATTCACACTTACCACACCACACATACACACACACACTTACCACACCATACACACACGCACACTTACCACCCGATACACATACACCATACACACGCGCACACTTACCATACCATACACACGCGCACACTTACCTCACCATATACACGCACACACTTACCACACCATACACACGCACACACTTACCACACCAT